GAGAAACGTTGTTGAAAGCCTTCTCCAGGTCTAATCCAAGAATGGCTCTGGTATCTCCTGTGCTCCGGTCGATGATCTGATGCTTTATCAGCTTCATGGCGCTTGCCCCACGAGAAGTGATTCTTAAGAGATAAAGGAAGAGAAAAGTGAGCCCCGTAACTGTCTGCTTCAGTGAGCGACACCTCAACAGTAGCTCACAAGTGATGGGGGTGAGGAGGGATAAAAAAGGGTAGGAGTAAAGGTGTAGAAAAAGGAAGAAGAAGAAGAGAGGAAGAGACGTGAGGTGGTAAGCCAAAGCGAGCGACAACAACCTGAGGGGATAGAAGAGATAGGAAAGATGGTAGCACGGTCACTGGAGTCCGAGGACAGGGCGCACTTGCGAGAGCTCTTGTCGGCGTCGGTAGATGGCGTAGAGCAAGTACAGTCGGTCAGAGCTACACTGTCGTCGAAGGTCGTCGGCGTCAGGAAATGGCGTAGGGCGAGCTCAGTCGGCCAGAGCTAGGCTGACGCCGGAGATCGCAAGGGCGCGCGAGAGCGCGCGCGCACAACTGGTCGGCACGGAATCCAGCAAGCGAGTCCAACCAAAAGCATTCCGCGGCGTCTGCCTACACTTCGTCCCACTTGTCGCCGTCTAGCTGTGGTGTTGCGTGTACCTTGCGCTGTATTAAACGCGCCACGTCGACGAGTATTTCTCTGTCCTTTAAGAGCCGTTAAGGGCGTTAAGGCGCCACGGCCGCTTACCCTGAGCTGCAATGTCTGTACCGGCGAGCCTTAAAATAAGGAGGCAATGGTCGCTTAAAGTCGAGGAGACTAACCACGAGGAATGCTAAGTGGGAGCCAGTGACGGCGAGACGTAAAAGCGGTCGATCCTGCTCCGCGCGCTCCTGCCAGTCCAAGTCATTCCTGATGGGGCCGGCCGAAGAGCGCGCCAAGCATCGATCAGCCCCAGCTCGTCAACTAGCTCACGCAGTACGACTTCGCCACGCCTACCTGTCCATTTTGGAGGGGTGCCGCTGAAAGTTCGACGGTCAATGCGATCTAGCACGCAATTGAAATCCCCCACCAGTACGACTCGAGAGGGGCCGACTAGGTGGTTATCTAATGCGGCAAAGAAATCTTTCTGTGAGCGGAAGTCGTTTGGAGCACACACGTTTACGATGCGAATGCCAGAATCGAGATCCATCCACATTATACGGCCATCAGTGTCCCTGAAGTAGCGCAGCACGGAACCCGTGAAGCGCGGCATCAAAATGATAGCCACGCCCCGCGAACCACTCGCGCCAAAACCCCAGTAGGACCTGGTGCCAAACGTCGCGTCAAAGGACGTGATCTGACTGAGTCGATGGACGTAAGTCTCCTGTAGTACGAGGATATCTACCTTTCTAGCACGAACTAGCTCGATGACTGCGTTCTGTTTCGCGGCGCGAGAGAGGCCGCGACAGTTGAAGGAAGCGATAGTAGGAGAAAGAAAAGCCATAGTTAGAGATTAGAAAAAGTGCGCGAGTTGCGCGAAAGAGGCGAACAGAAGGGCGAAGGGAAGGGAACGGCGGTATGCCAATCGCGAGCTAAGCTACGGACTCTCCCGCGACGGGAGAGACCGGTGTGGACGGGTACCACGTGTCCGAAAGTTCGGAACAGTCGCACGCGACCAACTTGCAGAGGTCGCACGGAGTCGGGCTCCCTGCGTCCATCTCCGAGTCTTCCACAGTGGTAGATCACAGAACACCTACGGTAGATGACGACGAATCGTCGTCCACCACTGCGGTTGCTGCGTGGCGCTTGTGCTCGGGCGAGGCGCACTCCGAACGGCTAGAATCGGACGCGGACGTTGACCTTTCCCTCGCGGCCACCGCTGCCCGTGCTCGGCTGCCACCGCGCTTGCGACGACGAGGTGACCTCCCTCGCCCCTTGACAACTGGGGCGGGAGCAAGGAGGTTATACTAAAACTTCTGGAGTGGCGGTCCCGCATAGCCGCCAATGTATCGAAGTGAAGCCGCGGCGGCCATGTTGCTCAGGGCAGAAGGCGGTGGCGGCTGCCTTGTAGCGCCGTAATGCTGTGGTCGCTGGCAGCCGTGCGTTTCGTTATAGCTACTAAAGCACCGGTTTATTATTCTTAGGCAGCGAGGGAACGTGGGAGTGACTCTAATGCATATATGCTTTAATTTTTCTTTGACACTTAGCGTTTTAGGCGTGTTAAAAAAAAAGCCAGGCATGCACGGAACGCGCAGCACAGTCGCACCTACAGCTAGAAAAGCGGTCTTTCAGAACACCTTCTAAACACTCTTTGGGATGCTACAAGCACACTGCTGTGTACCCACAGCGCCTTAAATATTAATACACTCTGTGTAGTAGGCCAGCATTCACTATGCTATCGTTCGTCGTTCTTTGGAGAAGCGTACGCGGTATCCGCTACACACTTGTTGGAAAGTTTGTGCAGATTTTTTTAAGCAGTGGCTGATGACGATGAAGAAATATGCGTGAAGTGGGCATGCGGCACAGTTGAAGGGTGGTAAAGAACAAGTTTTCCAATGAGTTGGAGCATTAGACGACCCAGTCGTTGAGCAATTCGTATTGTGTGACACTTTGCTGTCTCTTCGACGTTATAAAACGCTTTCTTATTCCTTTCCCGACATCAAGTCTGCCTATGGCCAGTTTAGAAACAGTTGCAAGCACTGGCGTGGTTCAGTGATAGAATACTGGAGGCACGCAGAGGACCTGGGTTGGAATTTCATTGTGTTATTGATGTTCTTTATTTACCGAGTTTTTTTTTTTGTTCTATACTGGTTAGGGGCGGCGGCGGACAACTACGGCGTCGCAAAGGACCTGTGTTCTGACCTCATAACAATTGTCACTGTAAAAAAAAAAAATTTGTACTGAAGGATATCAATTCGCAATATATGCTTACACAGTTGCCTCACAGCAGAAATGACCAGTTAGGAGATGCAAGGAACGTATAAGTTTCACTCACGCGCAACCATAAGCCCTTGGCGAACAACAGTGCGACGTGTGTGCAAACTCTGTTTATTAGGGGGGGGGGGGGGGGGGGGAGTGTCTTTCACTTTTTCACGTACTCGTTTGTGAAGCTCCTGGATATACAGGGAAAACAATGCTTGGAAAACTTGCAATCGTCCCTCTGATGATACGTTCTGCTCCATAATCTGGTCGAAGAAATTCCGAGAATCATCAATGCATTTTAAAAGGCCCCAGGTACATGCGTACGATGTCGTACCCTTCTTTTTCAGCTGTTAATTGTACCTTGTCTGTGATTTTTTTATTTTTTGTTTTTTGCCTGTACAATTCTTTTGTGGGTGAAGTTCAGGGGTGGCGGGATTTCGACAGCTCCATCAATGAGAGGAGCTTTAGGCGAAAGTGTACTTCCCTGAATTTTCAATGGAGCTCGTTTCCTTTTTCTCCTGCATAAAGAGAAGCATATCGCAACATATCAGAAATTTTGAGGCTGGGAGCGTAGTACTTATGCAAATATAAGAAGCTCCAAATCCCAGAAATGCAGAGCCGGTGCTACATTAGCTACCTTTCGAAAGCGAAGCGCTCACTTTTGTTGGGCACACTCGCGTACTGGCTTTCGTAAGTGCGCATGGAAACGATGCAAACACGCTAGTAATTTTATAAGTCCGTCGTCTCGCTATTTACCTTGTCTCATCGAAGCAGCATGCTTCAAAATGTGTACTAAACATCATTCGTCATTATTTGTTTTTTTTTTTTTGGCGCTTAACCTTTTCCTCTCATAGCACACTCTCATGTGCCGCGCATTACGACGTCTTCGGAACCCTGAAATGTACAAAAAATTTATTCAAAGTATCTCTGTGCACCCGGACGTAAAGAGGAAGTATATGTAGTCACGAATTCAGTTGTTGTCATGAAAATATGCGAGCAAAAGTGAGCGGGCGAAGCGTGTCTACGTGCACATCAAAAGTTGTACCCGGTGTCCGCTTCACATGATTCGCGCTGCCAAATGCCACCCAAGAGTCCACCATCGTCGTTTTTTAAAGTCACCACTGACGTGTTCAAAACCATCATGTTCAATCAGAGGCATCACGCGCAACATTACTGGCACTAGAACAACGCGAAAGCCATGTACGCTACAATGCGCCCATCCGCTTTCTGCCCTGGGCAATATGGCGGCGGTAAGCTTCAGCTACGGCGCCCCTCCGCCACTCCAGAAGTTTTAGTATAACCTCCTTGGGCGGGAGGCGCCTTTTCGCCACTGCAGGGAGAGGGGGCACAGGTTGCGCTGCCTGTTTAGAAGGTGAGGGGCGAGCCTCCTCTTTCTTTTTTTTTGCACCTGGACACGTTTTGGTGCTTGCACGGGTGTGTCGGCGCGTGGCGCCGGCTTTTTCCAAGCGGTGAGAGGGTCTCGACGAGTTCTGGCTCCTTCTCGCCGCTTTTTTTCACCTCGGCTTCTCCTGGTGCGGCCTGAATGGCTTTTCCCAGCTCCCCTTTGTCCGAGATAGACGATAGTCTTTCTCGGGGACCTTCGACGAAAAAATTTTTGGTCGGTCTGATTGTAAATTTGTCTGCTTTTCCACCCTAACGACACCTCAGACGGCGCCAAACGGCCAACCCCATCCGCAGCGCCCACCAATATTGCTCAAGGTTTAGCGTTCATAGTTGTGCGAATGTCAATTAAAAAGCAATTATTGCGCATATTTGAGGCGTCACAACAACGCTTAGATGTTTTCTATGTCTGCCTTTATACTAGAAGAGGCACACACAAGTAACTATAAGGAATGTAGCGCTTAATTGCGCTGCGCTGACAGTGCAACGCGATGCTCAAAAACGTGTTTCCAACGCTTTGCTACGACGTCAAGGTTGTGGCACCTGCCCGTCGCTACTTTCCGTCGCTTTGCGTTCTACACCTTATCACCTCCGAGACTGGCGCGCATCTTTCTCCGCGGGCTGCGCGCCTCTGTTTTCGAAGATAACTGCCAGACGGCACTTGTGTCTAACGTGCCTATAGACACAGAACACCTACCGCCTAGATGCGCTCATCGCCTACGCTGCACTGCCTCGTTGTTTACGTTGACGGCTCCGTCCTTGAAGATGGCTCTGCAGCTGCTGCGTGCATTGCTGCATCTACTTGTGCAGTCCGGAAGCGCCGCCTCCCCACGATCGTTTCGTCGATGGTCGCTGAAAAGGCCGCCATAAATCTCGCTGCCGATCTTCTTCAGGACATTGAGACAGTTCGCTCTGCTGCCATCGTATGTGACTCTCGCGTGGCCCTTGACTCCATCTCCCGCGAACACGAGGGCACACTACTAGCTCAGAGACTCGCCCTAAAGCTCCATGCGGTCCAGCAGCTTGGTTGCGAACTCTCCCTACATTGGGTTCCCTCTCATGTGGGCATACCTGGCAATGAGTACGCCGACCGCGCTGCCAAGGCCGCTCACGACGCCAGCAATCCGATTACTGATTTTGTCTCTGTCGCCGACGTCGGCAGACTCATCATAGCCCGCCGCATACGCGAGAGTCCCCCCGACCCTCGCGTGGCAGCCGGCTAGCCACCACGACGGCTTCCACTTCGTGGACTCTCCTGAGCGGACCGGAGTCTTCTCCTTCGTCTCCGCATTGGCTGCCACCATGCCGCTGAACGGATGCACCGCCTCACGGGGTCACGGCAGTCCCGCCTGCTATGACTGCGGCGACAATGAGACATTGGAGCATCTCCTGCTTCACTGTCAGGCCCACAACGCGGGTTCAAACCGCAATACTTTCAACATACAGAAACATTGGACTCCCACGGGCTTCCACGGACAACCTCCTTTTCCCCAACTGCCATCGTGACGAAATGAAACGGGCTCTTTCTGCACTGCTTGACTTTCTCGACGGCTGCGGGCTCTGGCATCGCATATAACTCTTTTTTTCTTTTTTTCTCTCACCTTCCATTGATCCCGTTCCCTCCTACCCCGTGCACTACTGCTGAGGTGTCCACCCCAGTGAGAGACAGTTCAGGGTTGCACTTTTCTCTTACTTCCCACAAAAATAACCACTACCCCCCCCCCCCTCGCCATACGCTCGAGGCACTCTAACGCAGCTGCTGCAGCATACCATTTACCAATTTTCTTGTGCAGAACATCAAATAAACGTTTTGTTCACTCTCTCCAGACGCAAGGCTCGTCTTTCGACTACATTTACAGTGTAACATGTAGATTCGGGTCAATTTTTTATTATTTGTACCAGTCACGACGTCTTGCTCACAACCAACCGCATCAACGCCTGAACTTCTGCAACACGAATCCCATCAAGCTGTCGTGATATACTACAGTGCCTGTGCTAATGTACTGAGCTCCAATAGCAATAAAAAAAAGAATGAGTGAAGCAGTGGTGCATGAGATCTGTTGCAGTAAACTCTGGTTTGTACGAGCGTCAGTTTAAAGAAAACAGTTAAACCTGTATGTCATCAAGACAGTAAAATCGGCAACTTACTTTTTTTGGATGCAAAATCAATTTCTGAGGCAAGATATATTAAAAAAGGCTTGCTCTTGCATGATAAGTGCAGGCAGAACGTCTGGACGATATGGATGTAAAAACAAGTAATATCATTGTGGTGAAAAATTAAATGAGGTGATTTTCTTCATTATGAGATACGTCGAAAACGTCTCGATGCTGTGCCAGCAGAAATTTATTTACAGCGGTCGAACATCACATCTGATCCTCAAAGAAATGCCGCCCAAATGCACGCGTGTAATATGGAAAAGATTAGCACAGCTTGCACCAAGTCACTCAAGGCTGTGTCACAGCAGAGCTGGTGAGAGCTGGCCCTGGGTAGGCTTTTACTTTTTCACCTTTTTTTTTGTTCTGGCACTTTGTATACCATATCATACGTGGCTATATGGGCTGTCCGTTTCAGTAGTTGACCATCGGTATCAAATGGTTGGGGGGTAACAGAGCGAGTGCTAGTTTATGATGATGATAATTTTCCATCCACGACACACGGCAAACTTCGAGCATAGCAGCTCTGCTGTTCTCATAGCATGTATATGCCACAGAAATTCAGCTAATCCAAATTTTTACTTCACTGATCCACTAAAAATTACCAAAGCAACACACGGGCAGCAAACACCCTTTTAGGGCCACCCATTTCCGCACCTCTTGTTAAGCATTTATATAAAGTGCTGCAGTGATGGCTGAATAAGTGCCTGTTGGCAATGATCATAGCTATGTATCTATGACAAATGGCAAACCTAGAGCTTAACAAGTTAACATCTATGCTGAAATGCTGAACTTGTCGCGACTGCTCTGTCACTGCGGCTAGTCGTCAAAACATCAGCTGTTCTTATCGGTAGAGCGAGGCCGATGCTGTCGTGTTCACCGAACGCAACCATTCACTTTTTCACTCGTTCAGATAAATGCGTGTGGTTGATAGCAGTTGCATGCCGCAAAACCCAAAAAGAACCGGTCTAAAGCAAGGCAAAAAGCTAGAGCAGCGCAAGGCTGGGTCACTGGGGAGCCGGTGTGCACCAAGCGGTTCCTGGCTTGCATACACCTTTCCCATTGCATCTGTTTCCTATTCCTTCTATTCCACTCTTGACATGACCATGGGTGTTGTCTTTTCCCATCTTTTTTGTACATTTTTATCTCTCCCTTTATCTTTGCATCTGAATTTTTGTCCTGTTCTTTCTTTCTACATATTTTTCTCTTAGCATAGAGACAGCTTCCAGTCACTTAGCCAAACAGTTGCATTGGTTCATGTTAAGGTCGATACCTTGGCGGACAAGTTCAGCGCACTGGATGCCAAGGTCAACACGTTGGACGCTAGCTTCTGTGCGTTGGACGCTAAAGTCAACGCGCTCGAACGCAGGCACTTATCTTTCGAATCTAACCATGGCGCGTCCGCCTAAAGAGTTCACGATTTGGCAGTGGAACAGCTGGGGGTTTACCCGCAAGAAGGCAGTTCTTCAGCAGTTCATTCGTTCTCACTCTGAAAAGCCGCACGTCATTTTGCTTCAGGAGACGCTTTCGGATTCTGTCAATCTGCCGGGTTACACATCTCACGCTCTTTACGGAGACGGACGAAGGGGCATTTTCACGCTCGTATCTAAGGGATACACCTATATCTCCCATGATCATTCTATGAACAGTAGTAAAGTGGAACACTCATTGATCGAAATTATTCCGGGGGGGGGGGTCATTTAAAGAGTAGCATTTTCATCCTGCATATTTACAGTTCACCAAATGACTCGAAACAAAGGTTTGCGGCGCTCTTGAGTACGGCTGCCACCAGGGCCGGTATCTCCCCGCATGTGGCGGCGGGTGATTTCAACGCTCCTCATCAGGGTTGGGGTTATCTGCGGTCATCCCGTAAAGGCGAGGATTTGTGGCAAGCAGCGGTGAACTTGAACCTCACCCTGGCCACGGACCCAGCATTTCCGACCAGGATGGGTAACTTCTGCACGAGGGACACCACGCCGGATCTTACCTTTGTTAAAAATGTTGAATCTGCTACTTGGCACAACCTGCACGCGGATCTGGGTAGGGACCATAATGTCTTAGCTACCCATATCAGAGTAAAGGGCAAACCCGTAAGAGAGTTTAGTTTCACAGATTGGGATTACTTTCGTCATATTAGAAAAGAACGCGCGCAAGCTGAAGACTCAACCCCCAGCCTGGATCAATGAGCCAAACAGCTCAAGGGATACGTTGGTGAGACGACAAAAAAGATACACACAGATTTGGAAATGGATAGGATGGACAGCCACCTTGCGCACCTCCTAGAGGCCAAGAAATCGTTACTGAATAGGTGGAAGGGGCAGAGGCTCAATCGTCGGCTCCGCAAGAAAATTGCAGAACTTAACCAAACCATCAAGGACCACTGCCAGACCCTCTCTAGGCAGCAGTGGGATGAGGTGTGCAGTTCTGTTGATGACCAAATGAGAATAGGAGCGAAATATAATTTGCTAAAGCACCTTTTGCACGAGTCGAATTTCAAGAGTAATCAAAGGCAAGCCATTGATAAACTGATACATGCCGCAAGACAGTGTGATACTGAAGACGCTATACTGGAGAGTTTGGCTCACAGATATTTACCCATTGGCTCCTCAAGCTGTTCAGACTATCCGTCTTACACTGGACCCCCTTGCAATAAGCTCGGAGAGCCCTTTACCACCAGTGACGTTTGGGAAGTTCTTCAAAACCTTAATGGACGATCGGCTCCGGGGCCAGGGTGGCATCTCGAACAAGGCCCTCAGGAACCTGGAAGACGAATCCATCAATTTCCTTACCGATGAGATAAATCGCACATGGAGAGAAGGTTCTGTCCCAGACTCTTGGAAAATGGCATCGGTTGTCTTCATTCCCAAGCCAAGGTGACCTCCAGGTTTAGGCAATCTAAGGCAGATATCGCTAACGTCCTGTGTCGGCAAGGTGGCGGAGCACGTCATTTACAACCGTGTCTCTAAGTACGAGAAGAAAGATCTTTTTCCTTACAACATGGTTGGGTTTCGTCCGTTTTTGTCCGCAAAGGACACAATGAAGCTGCTCAAACATCAAATCATAGACGTGAACACAAGGGACGTAAGAGGCATCCTTGGTCTTGACCTGGTAAAAGCGTTTGACAACATCTCTCACGCGCACATCTTAAACTCCATTTCAGACCTTGGACTAGGCGAAGCCTTCCACAGATACGTCAGCTCCTTTCTCGAATCCAGGAAGGCCAAGCTCAATATCGGAGACCTCAAGTCCTCTCCCATAGCACTGGGCCCTAAAGGCATGCCGCAAAGAGCTGTGATATCTCCGCTTCTCTTTAACATCGCTATATGCAAGCTGTCTACACTGTTATCTAACGTGAAGTGCATCAACCATACACTTTACGCTGATGATATTACCATGTGGTGTCCCGGAGGTAGCGAAGGGGAAGTCGAGACTGCACTCCAGGAAGCCATCGATCAGACAGATCTCTTCCTTGCTGGCACAGGGCTGAGGTGCTCCTCGAGTAAATCGGAGCTGCTCCTATACAGGCCCGATAGAAAAGGAGCCAGGCCAAAAAACTGGAAGACTTTATCAGAGGTAGACATCGTACTTCCCACCGGAAGTGGCGCCCCGTTCCGAGAGTGGACGCTATTAGAGTGCTGAGCATGATTATAGAGTCGCACAGGTACAACGGACAAACCATCGCTAAAATTTCAACCAAGACCGAGAACATGATCAGATTGATTAATAGGATTTCGAACAGAAGGGGGGGGGGGACCCAGAGAAGACAGTCTACTGAGGCTCTTTCATGCATTCCTCATGAGCCACATAACTTACGTTGCTGCCATGCACTCTTGGTATGGATTCGAAAAAAAGAAGCTGGAAACTGATCAGAAAAAGCGTAAAGAGGGTGTTGGGAATCCGCGTGCGAACAAGCACTGAACGGCTTATGCAGCTAGGAGTTCATAACACCCTAGATGAGATCATTGAAGCTCAAGAGAATGCACAGCTAATGCGCCTGTCGTCTACGCCGGCTGGTAGGAAGATTCTGTCTATCTTAGGCCTCAGTCCGGTGCTCGTAGAGGATCACCGT